AGTAGTAGAACGTCCTATATATAAATAGAGTATTAGGTATACAAATAATGGTAATAACACTTCGTTAGAAATACTTATGTAAGGAAATCGAATTCTGTGAAACTGAATGAGTTCTAACTGGAGTTAAGTATTGGGAGTGATTAGGTGGAATAATCCCTCTAAAACGATAAAAATGTTCACACTAGTATATTCCAACAACAAATATGCACAAATGGGGTGCTTTAAAAATGGCTCAAATAAAATTTATAAATGCGTATAAATCAGGAAATGGAAGATTTTTAATTTATTAAATTAATTCAGAAAAACTTATGTTAATTATAAAAACTTTTTCTTTTTTTGGTTATCAGTTCAATGAATTTGTGATATCAGAACGCTGATAACGTGAAATACTGTTTCTAATTTTCCCTCCAATTGAATTGATATGTCTATAACGGATGCTTTATATTGTCAGTTTCTTAAGTAAAAATATATATATTATGTAAGAATTGAAAAAATAAAACTTTATAAATGGAGAGTTTCGATCAGGTAGCTTAATCCTTTTGTATTTTATAAAGTTGAAAAACTGACTTCGTTGTCAACACAGAGGCATATTTAAGGTTGTACTGCCCTGGGTACACTTTATTTATAATAATTATAAGCCTTTAAAATTTCAGATTACCATATTTTAATTTAAAGAAACACCTTTTTTTTGCCAAAAATTAAAAAAAATAATGATGGATTTTAGGAATGTAGCAGCTCTAAACTTGTTGGTGTAAACATATTGGAAGGATCTGTAATCTCAGATAATTATTCTCTAAATGATATTCTTAACAAATATACTGAACAAGTTCGTGCTTTAGCTGATACGATTATGCAACTGGAAAATTTGAATCTTGTGAAAGATGTTTCAGTTTCATCAAAAAACAGTAACACTGAAATGATGAAAAATAAGAATAAAATTATCAGTGGAGTCTCGGCACTTTTGAAAGATTTGAAACCCTTAAGTAATAAAATTGAGTTGTATATATAGAGATGTAAAATTATCAATATTTCTTATTGTTAATTAATTATTGATATAATTTATAATTATTATATTATTGAATAATTGATTGTGAAAATCAACTAGGTGATTTAGATTTTAAATAATAATACTAACCAGAATAATAATAAAAAAAAAAGAATATATTAATTTTACAACTCTTAGTATGTAATAATTTTTTATGTTAACCCATTAGTTCCCAAGGTTAGGAAAAAAACAAATTTTATGTTGCATTTTATTAGTTTAATATATACCCAAATAACAATTTATAAAGTCAAAAAATTTTTTTTCTTTTTAGCTTTTTTTACAATAAAATGTTGCGTATACGCAATATTAGGATTAACACTTAATTAATTCATATAAAACGTGATTATTGTTCTGTTGAGAATAAATTTTAATAGCTAAAAAGTAATTTGGTTCAACAACAAGATAAAGAAAAAATTATTTTTTAAATGTTTCGTTATATTATACTTCATAAATATTTTTTCTTCTTTTATTTATTCATTATAAAGTTATAAACAGTTAGTATTAAAGGAATAATGGTATATTTTTTATTAAGCATTTAAATTATTTATCAAATTTTTGTTAAATATTGTGTTTTTAACAGACTATCCTGGATTCCAATCTTTAAGTTCACTGAGGCTACTTAAAGAGTATGAAAAAATAGCTCAAGAAAGTCAACTATTATTAAAAAAACTACAAGAAGATGATGTCACTACTAAAAATTTAATCGAAAGGTTTGTTTAAATAAATGTTATGAAATATTTGATTGAACTCATCTTTTTAACTGATTGAAATTATTTATTTTATTTAGTGCATAATTTTCATGTTTTTTCATTTTAGAATTGATTCTATGAAATCACTTATGATAGATTTCAAAAATGAAACTGAAAAAGTAATAAAAGAAAATTATATTAGTCCTGAAATAGAAAGAGCGATCACCAAAGAATTTAATGAATGTAGAGCTGATATGGTAACATTAAAAATAAATTTTAGTTAAACCATTTTTAACAACTTTTAAGTGTTTTTTTTTTTTAGTACAAAATATTGCCCCTAGTTGATCCATCATCAATGTTGAAAGAAGTATTGAGTGTGAGTGTTCAATATTCTAATATCTTTTAATTTTGTTATTGATCATTTTCAAAATTGGTTTTATAATTGTGTATTTTTATATTATGGGTTCAAGAATAAAGGAGCTAATCAAATAAGATTTCTGTTCTGTTTATTAGCCCAATTTAATCATTATTCTATGTATATATTTATCATTATTTTTTTTTATACATAGGTACCTGCCATCTTTCATATTATGCTTATCAAAATCTTAGTTGGTGTGAGGTTTTTTTTTTCATTTTTTAACCAAATTACTTATCAAAGAATTAATAATTGTAAATTTATTATAGTTTTAAAATATCATCTCAAAAATGTTAACTATTGACAATGTGTAAAAATTGTCAAGATATTTATCCACCTACTATGAAATTTACATATTTTTAATACTGGCGAAATATAGCTTTTTTAATAACCAAAATCATTTTCACATCAACTAAACTGTGATGCATAGTTTAATTTTTGGGGAGTATAATATGTGTGGTTAATTTATTATATTATATAAGGTTTCTTTTAGAGATAGTTAAAGAAAAAAAAA